CTGGGTTGGTGTGGGGTCCCGACCTCTAAGATGGCCAACTAGGGACAGAGGTTCATTCAGTCTTGGAATCATTCCAGCCCAGAACACAGAGTCCTGTGTCTTAAAGTCTGCAATATTTCTCCTCTTTGTAAGTGTAACATTTTAATCTTATATTCTTATCAATAACAGAGAATGTGAGCAGCATATATGTCAACTGAAGAATGAAGCTGTTCCTAACAAATCAGATTCATCATAAAACTAACCACTGAAATCTGCTGCAAGCAAAGCTACTAGCCCGATCAATGAATAAAATGTTCAGCCTGTGATTGCTGTCTGAAGAAATCAGCACCAAGTGGGGCTTTATCAGTGCATTCTAAAATAAAATAACACTGACTGTAGAAATGCAGTAGCTCCCCGAATGTGAATGTACTCTTTTAAGAACTATATTCAAAGATTCAAAACAGGAGTCAACGTGGGTCTGATATTAAGGCTTAAATTCCAGGACTCAGATATATATGTAATCACAGGCTATGAATGTAAGCTTAAAGAATAATGATGACAACAACAGCAACAAAATCCAAAGATACTACATTCCTGAAATCTTTTTTTCCAAAAACAGACCAAGATTGCTTAGTACCCCAAAAGCCAAATTATTTCAGTTCTTCATCTTTTTTTTTTTAATTTACAAGAGTACACTAAGTAATCGCATTATCTGTCATCGAAAAACCTAGAAACCAGGTAAGAGTGTCAAATTAGTTCTTGCAGGGGAAAATCTGCTAAATAGGTTTAAAAGAAGGAAGCAATAAGAACAGAACTAAAGGAAAGGAAATAGGAAATTCAGATGACTTCCGCCTATACTGCATATTGTTTGTAAGAGAAAATTACTGAAAATTTTATATACCATAATTGAGGAGAGAAAAATCTGATTTTTCATTATTTGCCTCTTTTTCACCATTACTTGATTTGATGTTGTCTGGGACTCCTACCCAGCAGAAGAAACTGTAAACTAAATCTCAGTTTTCAATACATTAAATAACTAAATTTTTAATGAATTCATGATAATGAGTCTCCTCTTTTTGGAAACTGTAATTTACTTTATTTTTCTAACTAAGGAACATCTGCTGTGGGTTTGAAAGGTTGCTAAGGAAAGGTTTTTAAAGGTGATACAAAGCCAGCAAAGTTTTATTCTCTTCACAGAAAAATGCATGGCACTTAAAATTTAAATCATTTTTTAAAATTATGAGTCATTTAAGGGTTTGATCACTCTTCACCTTTATGAAAGGGCCATGGATACTCCCACAGGCCACATTCCTTCTTGGGCACCAGTGGGTCTGATGCCTGTGACCCATGGGGTTCTCTAACTGTAGAATAAGAGCAAAGCTATTTTCCTGATAGCCATACCACACGTACATGCATCTGCAAATTACATCAACCACTGTGACATCCCCAGTTCCAATTGCTTCCCATCTCTTCCATCACCAGCTCAGCCCAAGTCCATGTTCATCCTGCAACTAGGGCCTTTCAATAGTGGTTGTACCCTATTTCCTTCCTTACTCCCCTATAGCTTACTCCCCTTCCAGGAACTGGAATGACCTTTGAAAAATGACTTCTTGTTATACTTAAAAACAAAACCTAATATCTTCACCATGGTCTATAATATCCCACTTATCTTATTCAATGGACTTCAGTGACACTAATCTTACTATTCCTGGAAAATGCAAATATCATCCTTGCCTCAGGCAGTTGTAACAGTGTTTTCTCTCTCTTACAAAATTAAAAGGCTCAGTTCCTCATTTCTTTTGGATGTCAAGTCAGTGTCACCGTTTCAAAAATGTTTTCCTAATTCTTCCTCCAAATAAACCTAATTCCTCCAAATCAAGGTCTGTTGCAACCTCCGCCTTAATTTTTTTTTATATAGATTTGCTTAGTGGTCTATTACTCTAGAGTATAAGCCCCTAGAAGGCAGGAACTTTGTTTCTTTCATTGCTAAACTCGCTTTGTTTTGTTTTGATATAGGGTCTCATTATGTTGTCCAAGCTGGTCATGAACCTGCTATGTAGCCTACGCTAGCCTTTAATAGGTGATCCTCCTGCCTCATCCCAACTGCTAAATTTTTTAGCGCTTACAGTAGTACATTATCTTCACTAAACATTTGTGGAATAAATAAGTCAGTGAATGAATCTGTTGGGTTTCCTAGGAGCTTCAGACATGAGTTCCTTGTACAAAATTTAAACAAATTCCTACTTCTTAAGCTGAAATATTTTAGCACAGTATTATAAGCAGATGATACATCAGATGCTTAGGATGATCCAAGTAGCAAAAACAAGTACATTACATGACATGGAATCTATGTGGGTGTTGCTCTTGAGCTATGAACAACCTCCAAAAGAAGCCCTTGGGGAATACCAGTGACTGAACCCTTTTGGTGAGGAAGGCTGCACGCTGCTGGTCTCAGACCAAATGGTGGACTATGGACTATGGACTAGATGCTGTCCAAGGGGATGGTGTGAGGAGGTAGGGCCTTAGGAGGTAGCTAGTTCTAAATAAGTTCATGAGAGCAGGCACCCAGAATGGAAACAGTGCCTTTATAAGAAGAGGAAGGTGTGAGAGTTGGCTTATTTGGGTACTTGTGGAGACGTGGAGAGGGCAGCCACCTATAAATCAGACACTAGGTCTGCTAGAACCTTGGTCCTGTACTTCCTGACCTCCAAAACTGTGAGGAACAGATGTTTGCTGTTTAAGTTACCCAAGTCTGTGGCATGTTCTCAGCCCAAACAAACCGAGATACTGTTCCACTGCCAAGAACGCAATTCAGGGGCCACACACCAAATAGTTCTCTGACTATTGGAAGTCAGTGGAAGTTCAGGTACAAGAGTTTTATGAACCACAGAGGAAGAAAGGGGTTAAAATCGGGCAGAGTGTCAGCATTTTCTGCTGTTGTTCATTTTGGTTCATTATTGAGGTTTCAGAGCCAAACATATTACCTAACCACAAACAAAAACAATATCAAACACAGTTCCACTTTACCAAAGCTATTAAGAACCCAGATGAATCTAATTAATACTAGGCATTGGGGTCCAAATCTGCTCAGCTGTCCCTGCATGACAGACAATCCCTGAACTCAGTGTGATACAAGCACAGACGAAAGTGGTTGGGAGCTGTAATCTATTCATAAAGTCCCAAGTTTAAATAAATATACATTTTTGCACTGTTCTTTGGATATACCACCTCTCCTTGAATATGCTATTTTTAGATTTTTAACTTTTGTACATAGCAAGAAATAAACAAAGTAGGGCAAGAGGGGGTATGAATAAAGTGCTAACATCTGTTCCAGAAAGATTTTTTCTCTGCTCAGTGGGATAGATATTTAATAAGAGGCTCCAGAGATGATGCACTTTAAAGACCTGTAAGTCAAAAAAATAATTAATAGCTAGTGTAACTGATAATAGCTACAGTGGTACTTGCTTTTCTGCACCAAATCCCTTTAATAATTTTGACTTGGACTTGACAACAAGAACTGGCTGCACAGTACCTATATTCCAGCCAGTATTTAGGGTCTGTACAAATCAAGATTACTGACTAATTACTTACTCAAACTGATTAATATTCTCTCTGCCCAATTCACACTTTCCCGCCTTTGTCCACATTTGCTTTTCCCCAATACCTTTCAGTCACAAATGTGTAGGTGATACTCACTCCTATATTCATTATAATACAAACGTCCAATTATTTAGTTATAGCTGCTCTCAAAATTTACCTCTCCGAGTCTAGTCCAGACTCTTGCATCTCTAAACTTTTCATTGCTAGTACTTCTCCAGTCATAGTGCATTTCATAGCATTCAAAGCATTTTCACCTCACACATTCAAAAGTCAGGATAAATATTGTTTCAGGTTACAGGTGAAGAAAATGCAAGCTTCTCTGTCAAGAGGATCGTGGAAAGTCCCTCTGCCTCCTCTGGCTCTTATTGTCTTCATCGAAGGATACTGGTTTTCTCTCTGAGAATAGTGAAAGTATGTGCCACAATGCTGACCATAGGGTAATTACTTTAAAAAAATTTGTTGATAGGGCTGGTAGAAAGAGCCTGCAAATTGGATTCTAATTCTGACTCACTATCTTTAGTACTATGATGGGTGGCAAGTCACTAAGATACAGATTTCTCATCTGTTGGAAATGAGGGTGTTGGCTGTAAGCTGGCAGTAATTCATGCACAGTGTGTGCACAGAGCTTCTTCTTGGTGACATCTTCGGGTGGTATCCTCAGGAACACTTTACAGTTGAACACTCCACATTGTGAGTGCTGGAAATGTGACAGAGATGCCAGGGGTCTGCTGGGATCTAATACTGGTGACTCAGTAGCTCCCCCTGGCCCTTGTCTATCCTTCTCATACTGGACTAGGTCTTTGCTTTGCCACATGCCTTTCTACTTCTCCCACACAGTGATTCAAGTGTTCTCAGGGAGGTCAGGCAACTTCTAGAGAAAGTAGTGAAGGGAATGCTGAGTCTGGTTTCAGTGACCTTTGTACAAATGTCCCCTACTGTTGTAGTCAGAGGTTGTGCAGAGAACAATTTTAATCAGGACATGGAGTTTATATTATTTTTATGATGGTCACTGGGAGTTAACACAAGAAAATGCAGGAAATCTATCCACAACACTAAAGACATAGAATATTTAGCCAAGGGCCTGAATCCCACAGCAATGTCTCACATGAGTCCAGATGAAGACCCAGAGCTCATGACAATGCCTCCCACGATTCCAACTGGAGGTCTAGAGCCCACATGAAGGACTCATGTCAGTCTCTTTTATGGATCAGTGCTGGGAAGGCCCAAAGGTCAGCAGTGGAAGCTAGAAAGTCTATGCCAGTGGGGTGAAGGAGCTGTGCTGATAGGTTGAGGGTTCTACACTGGAGCCGAGAAGTCACACTCACAACAAAGACCAGGGCTGTCCTAAAAAGCACCACAGCCATCGTCAGTGACACAGAGGCCCTGAGCTTCTCTGACAACAAGCACAGATGAGTACATACCAGGAAGCCAGTGTGACGAGTTCATCCTGGAGACCAAGTGGCACGTCTTCCTCTCCAGAGCTAGGAAGCAATGCTCAATGTGAGGACCAGAGCTTCTCCAGGAGAACCAACGACTCAAACAACAACACATAGGAGAACCCACAATGCCTCAACGCACCAACGCATAGCTTCTTTTTCTCCATGTCTCTATTTATGCAGGCAACTGTCCTCAGGTGAGACATCTACACTCAGCATCATGCTGATGTAATCCAGCTGGTGTTAAGTTGATCACCAGTTTTTGATCCACAACACCTACTTGTATCCTATGGTACTGTGGGTGGAACCCACAGAAGCCCTACCACTAAGCTACATTCCAAGCCCTTTTTATTTCTTTACTTATTTTATTTCAAGGAAGGGTCTCACTAAGTTGCACAGGTTGGCCTCGATCTCATGGTCTTTCTGCCTTAGCCTCCCAAGTAGCTAGTATCAGAGGCATGTGCTACTGCACCTGGCCAAGGAAACCCATGAAAGGCTGCTGCAAGTTCGTAAGTGCTCGAGCTGCTACCATCACCAAGCACCTCAAACAGGGTGACTAAAACCAGCACACATTTGGTGTCTGACAGTTCTAGAGACCTGCAATTTATGGTCAATTGGATCATGGTCTTTCTGAAGTTGCAGGTGTGGATCCTTGCTTGCTTCTACTTTCTGGTGTCTGCTGGTAATCCCCATTGCATCGTGTGGTTTATGAACAGGTCACACCAGTCATGTGGTCATATCCTTCCTGTGTCTCTTTACATCATCTTCCCTTTGTGTGTGTCAGGCCCCTTTTTATGAAGACACATCATATCTAATTAAGGTCTATCCACATGAACTCTTTTCAACTTAATTACTTCTAAGATTCTGTCTCTAATAAAGTCACATTTGAGATACTAAGGACCTTGACATATCTTTTGGGAAGGACCTGATTAAATCTGTAACAGCATGTGAGGGGATGACTTACTCCCCAGTGTAGGAGTGAGCCAGGCCCCAATGAAATTCCTGCACCCACATACCATATGAGCTACGCAGGTTGTGCTCACACAGACCCTAGCGATAGTCACAGTGAACCAAGGCGGTTATGGTCTGACTAGACCTGCATCCTCACAACCACACTAGGAAGATGGAATTGGTAGTCCCAGAGGCTTCTGGTTACTGGTCTGTGAATCTTGGTTCCACAAAAGAATAAAGCAGGAGAAGTCTGCTTCATCAGAAAACATGCATTCCCAACTATGCACACAAAGAAATGTGCTTATGAACAAAAGGACTACAAACATGTTTGGATGTGTTATCTCTGGCCTGCTAGAAGTGTTTGCTCATGCGTTTCCTTCTGCATCAGTGACGCACTGCCAACCCATTACCATTCCACAAACAGCATGACAATTTGAGTGGCTACTTCCCTTTCACAGACTCCTCTGTTGGGAGATAGATTATTGAAATGACATTTCATTGTTTTTAACCTTTCTAGAAGAGAAAAGTGGAGAAGGGCTAGAAGAAAGTCCCTAACTGATTTTGCTTCTCCAAGGATATTATAGGTATCAATTCATAAGAATATGAATTATTTGCTCAGTTCACACAATTTGCTGGATAATGCTAGTTAGTGTATAGTTTGTTCTTAAAACAAATAGGTAAAACATTGCAAACATGTATCAAGTATCCACATACTACACAAATAAAAGTGAAAGGATAAACCTAGCACAGCATACCATAGAAAGTGTATAACAATCTGGTTGTGGTGGTGCAAACCTGTAAACTCAGCACTCTGGGAAGTTGCGGCAAGAGGATAGCAAGTTTGAGCCTGGCCTGGGATACGCTGTGACTTACCAAAATTTAGCAAGACACTGTCTCAAAAAGTTGGGGGTGGGGTTGGGGCTGGAATGCATCCCACTATGAAGAAACTAGATCCTACCCCCAGTACCTAAAAAAGTTTATAATAAAACATTTAAAGTGTTCTGCATCCCTCTTTTGAACACAAAGGGTGAAAGGCAACACAGGCTGCTCCTGGTCCAAGGCCATTCCAGAGTCCTAGCAACAGTTATGAGCAAAATGTTGACTCAAGGTCAACATGTCTACCAAAAGGATAATTGTGAGAATCTGAGCATTTTATATTGCATCCAAGTTGGTTTTTTAAGGTTTAGAACAAGATGTAAAGGATATAAAGCTCATAATGGCACATATTTTTGAATAACTGTTTACAATAAATAGTAAGATTTGAGGCCTGTATTTTGTTGGTGTTTTATGTTGAAACCTCCTTTGTTTTCTTTCTCCAGGGTAGAAATATTGTTTTAAAAGTATAGAATCTATTTTCCAGAAAAGGAAATGTAGAAAGTTTGTATTCTATTCCAAGTTTAGACTTCTTATCTAGTTTAGCAATCCAGACACCCATTCATCACTCAACATAAGGAGGACCATGCAAGGGGACTGAACCCTATCTAGCTGGTGTGGCCCAGAGCTTGGGCCGCCTACACCACATGCACTGGGTGTGCCAGGGTCAGGTGAAAGGGAAGATCAGTTTACCACTTATGTATGGAGTGTACATTACAGGGGCTGGAGGTAAAAGGCAGCAAAGATTCTATCCCTGTCCTTAGAGGTTTGCAGTTTGATAAACACAGCAGACATTTGCAGCCTCAGGTCTAAACACTCTCTCTAGAATGTTCCTGGAAGACTCATCTCTTGTGCCTTGTCACTCTTGTCCAGGGTCCTTGTGGTTATTATCCTGTTGCATTTTTTTCTTGTTCTGTGGTCCCCAATTGGCAACATTCCCATCCATCTTCTTGTCTCTGCTCAGTCTCACACTGGGCTCTTTACCTTTGAAGCCCCTATAGTGGGTTCCACTGGGTGCTTCCCATCTTGCAGTCCCATGGATCCCTCTAACTTCACGGGTTTGGTCCTGGCAGCAGCAAACTCAAACACTGGGAACAGTTCATACTGTAAGACCACAATTACCCCGCTAAGAGTCCATGATGATTGATACTCTCCTGCTCAAAACCATCCAAGTACTCTCCATTACCAGGCCAAAATCAGACTCTGGACCGTCCTTAGATCCCAGTTTACTTTCCAATATTATCTCCCATAATTTTGCTATATCAATCAATTCTGACTTCTCAATGTTTTCCAAAATGCTTGGCAAGGGATGGTCTTGTTTATAGTTATATGTGACATTTCTTTCTATCACTTCTGCTGATAAAATCTCATGGAGCCCTCAGAGTACCTATCCAGTCCCCTCTCTCTCTAGGCTCATTCTCCTGTCCTTGGAGGCCTGACGATGCTATGAATTCTATCTTCTCAACACCATTGATCAGGTGGCAGCTAGCTGTACACACATGACCTATCTTCTGGTTGCAAGAAGGTAGGAAGAGGGAAGGGGCATAAACAGACCTAGTAAACACCTTTATTGTTCATAGAACTTGTTCAGTGCATGTAAATCATAAATGCAAACAGGAAATGTAGAAAGTTTGTATTCTCTTTCAAGTTTAGACTTCTTTTAAAAACAACAACAAAACAAAACAAAACCCTTTTAGTTACACAGTTCCACAAAAGTAGAACTTATTTAAACGCTCCAAAACACAGATGTTCACATCCCGACAAGGTGCATGAAGAGTCTACAGATGGCAGCTTTAGGGTAAAGGGTTTGGGGATTGGAGGGAGAGGTGAAAACTATAAATGTCCTTAGGATATACTTCTACATTTATCTTAAAAAGAAGGAGAAACAAACGTAAGGAGATGCTATAGAAGGTGTTGGCTCCACATAATAGCTGTGAAAAAATACAGCTGTAAAAAAAAAAGTCTAGGTACCAATTCTAAATTGCATTATTTCTAGGAAAACATAAGCTAGAAAAAGACAGACCTTTTGTGGTCAACAAGACAAAAGGACACATTTTCAAGTTGCCAATAAGAATTTTATCACGTAACTCTTGGTTTAGTGTCCCTGGTATTATTACAATGTAGGATATGAAATGAATTTGAGATTATGCATTCAGGAAATGAAATGGATTTGGGACCACGAAACCTATAAAATGCAATTCAACGTTTTCTCCCTTTGTATTTATTAGTTTCTTAAAAAGTTATTTCCTTTCAAACTTTCTTGGTGAAACAAAGCAAACCACATTGGAACCAACAAAACTGTAAGAATGCGTGCCCTCCAAGGGATCATAATCTGCAAGCAAATTCAGTTATGTCCCTTTTCCTTTTTCTTTTTTTTTAAAATAAAAATCTGCTTACAGTCGTTGGCATCCTGCATGAATTTGGAAAGAATTTTGGGAGTCCTTGTGCCCAGTCCCCAGCCTGGCTGCTCTCTCTAAAACTCAGTCTCATCATCTTTAAGTGGCAATAAGAACACACACTTGCCTATTCCTACAGAGATTGCTTGAGGACTCTAAAGAGAGTAGAGGCCAAGGGGAGGTCAGGGAAGGGACAGGCCTCAAGGACAGTACCCCAGAACTGCACAGCAAATACATGCATGTGACCTGCAGACTCTGGCCTCAGCATCTCAAACTGTGCAGACTTTAAAGGAATCAGAGATGCAAGTTCAACCCATCCGGGCTGAAAGTGAGGGAGGAAAATGTCTCAGAGCCAGGGGCTGAGCAAGGGGTGGCATGCTTCCTAGCAAACAAAGGTCCTGCAGAACCATGTAAAACCCACTCCTTGGTTCCTACTCTTGTCAAACATTACAGCTTTGATGTTCACCAGTGGCCAGTCATGGGTGAACAATTATAACTGAGGGTCTTTTGTAAGAAGAGCCAAAGAAGTAGCAGAGGGACACAGTGACCATAGACAAGGACTTCTCTCAATGCTCCAACAGCCCAAGGATGAGTTTGCATGACTTGTATAGGATCTACTATTGCCTAGATGGTGGGACTGAAGTAGGCAGACACAAGATGGCTGGTTGTCAGGAAAGATGTCTCACCCTCAAATGTCCAAGACCCATAGGACAGCATCACAGAATGGAACACACTTTCTCTAAAAGAATTCCATGAACATGAAGAACCATACTCCACAGAGCTGATCCTAATGGTGTCTTCCACCTCAGTGTCATGCCATAGCTC